CCCCCCGCCGATGCTAGCCGCCATAGAACAACAGAATCCCATTCCGCCTTGAATCGTGAGATAGAAGTAAGTCAGTCCAGTGTAGGCTGCGGACTGAACATGAACGGCAGATTGAATTGGCATCTCTTCTCCTTTGCTCTCAATCCACGTTGTGCAGTACTTACCATGTAGCTAGGTCCTTCAAGAAGTTTCATTTTAAACCGGAACACGTTTGAAGGATTACCTGGACCCGAGAGACTGAGGACACGCACGCACACTTAGAAGCTGGCTGTCAGCTGATATGCACCGAACAGGGCAGGGTGGGTCTGGAACTCGATGCGCTGTACCTGAGCTGGAGATGATCCCAGCGTGTTTTCACATGCTTTTTTTTGTTGATGCGGTGGTGGTGTGTACACCATGGAATAATTGTAGTGGGCAGGATTCGTTCCTGGGATGAAGAATGGTTGTACAGGACAGTTTCAGATGTACATAACGTTTTTTTCTGGGGTGCCTTGAAAATGCTGTAGTCCGCCAATTTCTAGTATATCATGTGGACAAGGGGGAAAAGAAGACCTGCATCGTCCTACACTGTCTATCTTGCTTCATTTATCTAAGACACTGGCAATCGAACTGACCATAACCGCTGCCTCCCGTTCCCAGTTCCTCCCCGTCGCCGGCTCGCCTCCTAATCGCTTTTCGGTCCCCAACACAGAGGTAGGCAGCTGGGAGCCCCGCAGGACACATTCCTTGACTTCCTTTTTGATGCGATCGCGATTTGAGCGCAAGGTCCGAGCCGACACGCCTCCGCGGTTGACGATCTCCTGGACCCGAGCCGTGAGATACGACGCCAGGGATCGCCAGAAATATGAGGGAAGGGAGGAAGTGTCGAGAGAACTGAGCAGTGGCTGGAGCAGGTTGTTCTTGCTGCTGCTGCTGGTCTGGGGCGGTGCTTCACTCTGATCTCCGTCGCGGTTGGTGGGCGTAGCCACCGGCTGGGCTGCAGGGAATAGTGGGTGTGGTGGTGGGCGAAGATGGTTGAGCACGGCCTCCAGCGCGAAGATATCCTGGCATCGCGCAGACAGGTCGGCAAGAGTCCGCTCGAGGGTCGGCAGCATCGACAATGACCGCGTGAGGTTGCTCAAGGAGGTGGAAATGGCCGTGTGCATGTACCCCTGCAGCGTAGAGAGGAGAAGCTCGGGGACGAAGTCCGCCGCGGAGCTCAACGTCTTGGGCACCGGCGACAGTAGATACAGGATGTTGACGGCGGACACCAGCCGGGCCCTCGCATCGCGCGCTTGCCTGTAGCCGGACTGCGTCTGGGAGCTCGCGCCGCCGGAGATGTTCGACATGGAGAATCGCGTGATGGCCTGCTGCGCCCGTGCCTTGACCATGTTTTCGGCCGGCAGGACGAGCTCCGCTCTCAGCGTCCGGACCACCTTGACACGGTCAAGTCCGTAGCCTTCCTCGCCCGGGCCGGTCTCGGAGAGCATACGCCGTAGACTGACAATGGTGGAGGCGGCGCGCTCCAGCGTGCGGTAATCATCCCGGCCGGTGACGGGTGACGTCGTCCCTTCGATGCCACCTATCTCTGCGAGCTGACTTTCCAGCTGTCTGCCGAGAGACAGGCAGCGCGCCACGGCTCGTGCGAGTCGCACGGTGGCCAGGGACTTCTCGGCCGCCACTCGAGCCTCGTCAGCGGCCTCCCACTTGCTGAAGACCTCTTTTTCGAGGCGCTCATACCCCTGCGTGACGGAGGCGATCTGGTCCTCGGCCTCCTTGAGGATATGACTGGCTGCATCGGTCTGGTCGCGCGTGTGCGTCAGCAAGGGGAGGGCTGATTTGGTGGTCAGCGCATGGATGTGGGTGTCTATCTCTTGGAGATCGAAGAGGACCCGCGAAAGCGGGGTAGACAGATCCAGCGGTGTGTCTGTCGCATTGTTGGTGGCTACAACAAGGGAGTTGGCGAACGAGGCGGGTGAAAAGTCGGGGTCTAGAAAGGCCTCATAATCTATGTACGATGGTTCCGCATCCGCCATGGTGGGTGTCGCTTCCACTAGCTCGCTCTTCCACGGGGCTGGTGCTCAATAAGAAAACAGAGAGCTCGAGAATCGAAGGGGTATCAGAAGAAAGAAAATTGGACTGGGATGGAGGATCGAAACTCAAAAGAAGCTTGGGTATCACCGTATCAAACAAAGCAGCAGGAACACAGGTTCACGGCACGGGGCTTCCTGGGAATTTGGTAGAGCATGGGGTAAACAAAGCTAGATGTAGTCAACTCTTCCATGTGACAGTCTCAGCAATAGTCATCATCGGCTCAATTGCCGGGGGGGTTGATCGAACTAGCAACAAGAGGTGACTTGGAGGCTGTATTCATGCCATGTGTCGGCCGGGATGGAGTGGACCAGAACTCGCTTGGTGGATTAGTCATCCAGCATAAAACCACTTCTATGCATCCATGAAGATGTAACTTATACATCGGTCAGCTCAAAGGTGCATTTCGAAAAACAGCTTTTATGGACCAGGAATGGGGGTTTTCTCTGGATGTTACTTCATCACTCCGTGCTATAACTACATCGTCTCCTATAGAGCGGGATTTTATCTATCGATATATCCAATTCAGCCGTTCGCAGCTCAGTCATGGTCTGTCAGCATACAAAAGCTTCCAAGCATTGAGCTGAGCACCATACATTAGGCCACTGTAACGACCCCTAGTCTGCTTACTACTAGGAAGTACTTACCATCCGAGGACCTTCATATCCAAAGACGGAATGACAGCCATCTTGACGTGTGCGACCTACACATGAGTTCGCCGCATGTTCATAACATTCGGTTCAATATCAGCCAGCGTCTGTCAAATGATGTATTCTGAAATCTAAAATCGATTCACCCCTGTGTAGCCTATCGTCTCGAGAAAATAACGGCCAATAGTATTCCTAGATTCGGCGTATTTCGCCGCCTATCTATGCCACATCTCGTCCTCGCCGTCTCCCACTGAGCAGTAGTCACGACTACAGCGGCAAAACAAGCCCCCATGCCTATAATCGCTTCCACCCAGCCCCTCAAACATCGATAACCATTTCACCCCCGCTGCACCTTCCTCAATATCCCCGAGACCCTCGGCATCATACTCCACTTCTCGCCCTCCTCCCTTAGCTCCACAATCTCCCAATCCGCCGACGTGAGCAGGATATCAGCAATCGGGCGATCCAAACGACACCCGTCCAACGCCACAGGCCACACCAGATTCCAGATCTCTATTCTCGCAAGTCAGCTCTTCCCTTTCCCCCCACCGTAACTCTCCATAAACAATGCAAGGGAAACATACTCTGCACGACCCAGGTAACCCAATCCGCACTCGCGCCGTGCTCCCAGACGATCAACTCGCCCCCGGGCTTCAACAGCCGCCAGAGCTGGGCGACCACTTGCTCCGGGTGCTCGACGGAGCACAGCACGCCGAAGCTGGTCACGCAGTCGACGCTCTCGGCGACGAGCCCGTGCCTCTCGAGGGCCGCGCGGTCCATGACGTCGCAGAACACCGGCACGTACAGGGCGTCCAGCTGCAGCGCCGCGATCCTGGCAGTCAGCGCCGCGCGGAACGCCGCGTTGGGCTCCACGCCGTAGATGGCGGTGATCCGGTCGGTCTTGTATCGCTGCAGCTGGTTGCCGGATCCGGGCCCCAGCTCGAGGACGGTCCCGTGGGCGGCGGCCGCGAGCGCCGGCAGCGAGGTCGTGTCTTCGTAGGCGATGAAGTGCGGTGCTTTGCATTGGGGGGAATCAGTGTCAGTGCATGGCCCATGCCCAGTCGGTGCAGTTGATCAAGTATGCTAAGCTAACATACAAACTTCCGTAAACCACTGCGCGAACGCGCGGCGCTGGACTGAGGTCCCCGGTTCATGGTCGGTGGATCTGTAGACCGTCCATATAGCTGGACGCCGGGGGTGTGCGGGACCCTTGTCAGTATACTATATATACGTTTAGGTCCCATGGGCTGGGAGAGGGCCATACATTTGAGGGCACTAAGTAGTGGGTTGGACTTGTCAAAGTAGCTGCGGAGGCGGGCTTTCAGGTCGAACCCCATTGTAAACTAGCTTGTGTGGGAGGATCGGGGGAGGGGGGCGTCTTATCTTTTGGTGTAGTGTACTCTGCTAACCGGGGTTGCAGGGCACGGGCAGCTTTTTATATGCGGGCGAGCGAGACGGAGCTAAGGAGGATATGGTGTCATGCTATCCAGATCCTTCTGACTCCAGTTATATCCCGCATCCTCCCGGCACATGCTGTTCTTGTGCTTATCTGCATGGTTCGGTTCAATGCCACTATATGTGTGTGTAGCGGCTCGATTGCGTGCGTACATTGCTGGCTGTTCGGCTGCTTGGTGGTGATGTGTTTCTTGCACGAAACTGGCATGTTTCGTTGGGCATATCTTCTATCTTTCTTTTTTTTGTTATCTGTTGTACATGCTTTCTTCCGTGTGCATACTTGGTTTTTTACTTCCAATACAATCGGATATATAATTGGAGCATCCGAGAATATACACCCAAACCCATGGCATTGCAAACATGTGGACTAGAACGGAATGGAATTTGCGCCTATATACGTAGAACAGTGCTAGGCACACGACTTATATGTATCAGAGAGTCGACAACAATTCGACCCCTGACTGATTATGCCTGTACAAGACTAGAGCTAATCATCAAAACTCCTATATTCCGCCTTGCTTACCCGATAGATGCTACTGTTGATTGATGTATGCATGATAAAAAGCCCTAACATCAATCCAGGCAAGATGGCCGAGTTGGTCTAAGGCGTCAGGTTAAGGTTACCTTAGCACAACAGCTTCACAGCTTCCTGATCATCGTTTGATGGCGTGGGTTCGAATCCCACTCTTGTCATTACTTTTTGCATGTTGCTCGCATGCATCCCAATGGCTGTGACTCCGCAGATAGAGAGAGAGATAAGCACAGCACACTACGACACCAACTCTTCTGAACCCTCAATTAACAGTATTTTTGCCTTTCAACATAGATATCTGAATACTGTTCCTGGCCATGGCAAATGCAGCTCCTACCAACAATCAAGAGCCCTATGGGTTTGTTAATCCGACAATCAATTTGATCCATCTTCAGCATTGAAGTCACGACATACTCGATATACACACTCCGGTACCCCTGCACCAGGCAGATTCACCCCCCACAAGAGCACCCCTACTGTAGAACTCTCCCGCTAGTCTCCTCGACAATCAGCTCAAACTCCGGCTGGAACTCCGTGTAGAAGTTATGCTATACATCAAATCACAATCAGTCGCACTTCTTCGACACACAAGAGACGCAGAGGGAATTCTCACCGCGCCCTGCACAGCATCGGCCGTATACTTCGCCACCTCATCGGAGATGATCTTCTTCTGGACCCCGCTCGCAGCAGCCGCATCCGCCAACAGCTGCGAGTAACAGGCATTATCCAAGCTCGAAAAGAGGAAAGCCGCCTCATCGACCGTCCGACCCACGGTCAGAAGACTAGATGCTGGAATGTTAGCATGCCTTCTCGTCGAGGCCTCTGACCGGTTTGCGAAATGGTCGGTATAGATACTCTCAGAGACAAAAGGAGAGGGAGAAACATACCCGTGATTCTGCAGAATACACGCCAAATTCTCCTTGCCCAGCGCCTCGGCAATCTGCCGTCCCTCATCCTGAGCAAGGGCAATACCGCCATGATCATCGTACACACTGAGTCGGCCGAAGAAGTTGCATGCATCTGATTCACGTGGGTTCTATCATTAGCATCAAATCACCAGAGAAAGAAAGAAAAAAAGACTAACCCTGCGTCAACATCTCCACCGGCTTCCCGAATGCACTCCACGTCTTCCCATACACGGAATGCGTATGCGCCGCGGCGATCACATCCGGCCGCGCCTTGTGGATCTCCGAGTGAATCATGAACCCGGCCTCGTTGATGGGCAGCTGGGCGCCGCCCTCGGTGACATAGCCGTCCGCATCTACCAATACTAGATCCGAGGCCTTGATGGTTGAGAAGTGTTTGGCGAAGGGGTTCATCCAGAAGTGGTCTTTTAGGATGGGATCTGAATATTTGATATGGGGTGGTTAGTCTGGGGCTCGTAGTATGTACTGCACTCAAAGACGCTTCTATCTATGGGAGAGGGGGAAAGGGAAGGCACCTCGCATGGAGATATGGCCCGACACTCCGTCGCCGTAGCCCTTCTTGCCAAAGTATCGAAAGGCAGCGGCCATGTGCTCCTTCATCCACTGCCGCTGAGCATAGACATCGGTGAATGTGGGGATCCCCCGCAGCTTGAGGGTGCCACTACGTGTACCCCGCGCCAGGGCCTGGAAGGCCTTATCGTTGGCGGCATCGCCGGGGTTGAAGTTGTTGTTGTTGACGGCGGCGGGGGCGGCAACGATGGGAAGGGTGCGTTGTTCCGCCGGGGGAGCCTGGGTGATGGTCGTGGACATTATCTGGGTCAAATTATGGGAGCTATGAAGTAGATATGAGCTATGAGAAAGAAGATGACAATTGTCAGGTCCGAACGGGGGGTATCGAATGGTTTTATTACCTTTTTTGACTTTGACTTACTACATATCGTCAAGTAGGCAAGTGACTTCGGCCCCGCGGGATGGAATTGGGTTATCAGCTTATCTCCGGCACTTCAGATAGGCTCGTCTCGCCGATGCGCCTTCCACGAACAAATCACTTACTCTTTTGGTTGGCAGGGTTGAACTTTTACTTGCCTAATTTAACTCCCGGCCAGAAAACGTGACGATAAGAGAATTGAGGCGAAGTCAACCACCCGCTCCATGATAAGTAATCATCTGTGCCTCCGAGGACTCTATACTGGGTGAATTGCTAGTATTCCCCGGCCCGCATCTCTTGGAGCAGTGGTATATCAACCATATTGCCCGCACATATGCTATAAATTGTAACCAGACCGAGTGCCCCAGGTCATCCAGAAGTAAATATATATAAGACAAAGAGAAGGAAAAGTAAAATGAGAGAAACAAATACTACCACAGCAACGCCATCTATACAGGTACTAGCCAGCCAGGGTATACATGAAGAAAAGAAGAAAAAAGGACAACTGTGCCGGGGAAAATCGCTCAATGCTACATTGACAAGCATATGTGCACCTCTCTCTCCACACTCACCAGAAAAAGCAGGAAAGGCAGCCGGATAGCCATGAGGCTACACAGCCTGATCACCCGTGCCCTTCAACAGGCCCATCTCATATTCATCTCCCCCATTTGGAAGGTTGCGGCCCCGTCCTCGACCCTGCGACAAAGAGAAGGACTCGTCGGATCCCTCAGCTTGGGGCTGAGACGAGCCTCCCGCCGAACGCCCCGTGTTGTTACTGCCGGACATGCCCCCGAAGCTGATCGGTTGCAACTCCCGCCACCGACACGCCCAGATCCCCAGAAACGTCATGAGGGCGGCACTGGCGCACTGCAGGCCCCACCAGAGCCAGTTCGAGGGCACGGAGCGGGTGTAGAAGACGGTGATGATAAGGTGCAAGAAGTGTATCGTGAGCGCAAAGTCGGGAATGAGTTTCGAGCGCGACACGAGAAGTAGAAGATATATCACCCTGAGCGCGAGCGAGCACTATTAGCAACTCCCATCATCTGTACCCGGAAGCAATGGGGATGGAGGGGGGGGGGGGAGGTCCAGGACTTACCCTATCCCACTGTTCAACATCCATACCAACCCCAGCATCCACCCTACAGTTGTATCCCCTCTTAAGGCATTCCAATTCAAGACGAGGTCAAACGAGAACGGAGTGCCGTAGACAATTGTTGTAAATAGTATCAGAGCTGTCGCGGACACATAGTAGGCACTTTGAAGTAGGGCGATCTTCCGCACGATCTTCAAAGGTGGGAGGTCAGTCCGAGCCCCCGCAGGAGGCGGACGTCGGCGCGGGGGCATGAATTGCAGATGTGCTTGTAGTGCTTGCGGTAAAGAAAATGTTCCGTCGAGTCTCCTTTCACCGAGATTTCGCGCGAAAGGCTGGTGAGAGGTTCAATGCGTTCGGTGGTGGCAGGACTGCCCGTCGGGCCTTGGATATGTCGTATGGTTTCGCCCGCCGTGAAAGCCAACCTGCCTTATATACAGGTTATACCGCAGGGATCACGGGCAGAAAGTTCCAACCTGCAGTAGCTAGTATGGCGACAATGAAAGACTCGAAGAAAATGTCGCCAGGTGGCTGGAAGTGGTGGGAGGTTTGTTTGTGAGGATGAAAGGTGGTGGACGGGATAGGCTAGCGCCACATGACCCGGCCGTCATTGCGGAGCGGAGCGAGCGGGCAGTGCGAATATCCTACAGGGCGCCGCTGCCCTCCATACGAGCTTGCTCAAGGTGTCTTCAATTCTGCATTTCGCACCGCCATCTCGCCCCATTTTTAACAGCTTCCTAAAGGCTTCTTCTCTCAATTTTCTGCTCTCAGTTTTTTCCCTTTCAGCAATCCTGCGCAATGGGCTGGCTTCCCTGGTCTTCCGATTCCTCCTCCAACGCCGCCTCCGACGGCGGCCGCATAGCCCCCGATCGATCCTCCCGGCAACGGTGCTACGAAGGTCGCGACCTGTTCTTCTCATGTCTGGATAGGAACGATATCTTGGATGCTGTCAAGAATGACAAGGAAGCGCAGCGGAAGTGTGGAAAGGAACTTGCACAGTTTGAGACTGCCTGCTCGAGAGCTTGGGTGCGTTGCGCATAAACCCTCCCACACCATCACGGACCCTGGTTTCAATTGATCGGTCACCCTGGCTCTGCAAGACCAACTCAAGACTGACCGGAATGTTGAATAGGTCAAATACTTCAAGGAAAAGCGCGTCATGGAATACAATCGGGACAAGACAATCGAGCGCATCAAGCAGGAAGACGCAGCTAAGGTCGAGGATCTGAAATCACAGGGTTGGACTGCGCGGTAGAAGGGGGGTCATCTAAGTGACAATCCCCCCAAAGAAAAACGTATCGGGTGATAGAACGGTGCTATCAGCCCGAGAAGATCCAAACTGTACTATATCGACTTTTCGCCCACCGATGTATAATGACTTCCAAATGAGGCTTTGGGCTAACCACTTACCCTGTGTCACAATATTTACATACTCTCCACTACTTTGCCAGGAATACCAATTGATTAGCATTATCGTGTGCTTGAATTCCTCTAGCGAGACTGAATAAGAGACGCCCAGTATGGTGCACGGGATCATAATAAAAATAGATACAGATGACCTTTGTAATACACCACGCTCTCCCCAATGCCTGACCAATTTTCTGTGAAAAAAGAAATTCATCCATTGCACTCCTGTAATAGTTGCTCGCTGATTCAACCGATGCGAAAGAAACAGAAACCCCAACAACCGAGCCATGATAATATATCCACAAGTAACATTGAATATCCGACTCTCGACGGATCAATCAATCAACGCCCAACTTTCTGAGACGTCGCCAAAGACCGCAGGTCAGAGAGAATAGAAAGAAGAAAAGAAAGAAGCGAGGTGAGGAAGGTAGTCGAGGAGAGAGCATGCATCACTGCTTCCATTTACCCAATTGATGCATAATGTTTTGTACTTGGTGGCCAACAGCAGCCTGGTTCTGCGACTGTTGGCCTCCCAGACCTTTCGCAAGCAATGAGATCAAATTAGGATCCGACACCACCGGAGCGTTGGGTGTCTGTAAAGGAAAAGGCTGGGGGGCTAGCGGCTGCTGCGGATTTGCCGCAATGGGCTGTCGGGTTGCGGCATTCAGAAGACTAGCAAGATCCGCGGTAGTATGCGGGGTGGCGGCAGCAGCAGGGGCAGCAGCTGCATGGGGAAATGGCTGTTGCGCGCCGGGAACAGTTGACGGTCGCTGCTGTTGCTGTTGGAGTACTCCCAGAAGCGATTGAAGAGTAGGTCCATCGAGAGATGTAATCAAATTCGCGATGTTAGGCTGGTTTGGCACACCAGGCAAAGCAGCCTGAGGCACCGAGGCAGCCGGAGCAGGGAGAGGAACACCAAACGCCGGGTTTGGTGTGAATGGATGGGGCCCACCACGTTGCACGGATTGCGCATGGAACACGATCTCAGCGGCGATGCTAGGTTCAACATCGGGGTATTCTGACCTCATGTTAGATGACGCTTATTCCTCGTGAAAGACAACCAGCACGACAGGCGACAGCTTACCATTTGACCGAACATTGTCCGGACCCCCACTTCGATCAAACACCTGCAGCGGAATCTTTCTCGAAAATTGGCTCGGTCGTGATAGTCTGACTATAGCAAGGACACCCTCCTGGATCTGGCGTTGAACTGCAGCGCTGAGTGGGATCCTTGGCCCAAGTACTAGAATATCGACCCGAAGCCCCCGGTTGCGGAACGAGTTCTCAACGTGGAACAAGAAGTTTCTGGACTAGGGCGTTAGCAGAGCGGATCCGCTAATTAACATACAAAACGGTAGGACACTTTTGACTTACCGATCGACTTCTTCAAGAACTAGGAGCTGCACTTCTGGGACATCCCTTGGAGCTCGTCGGGGAACCGGTATGTCTGTCTCTGATTCATACGCCCCACGTGCCCGCGGACTGGGGCTGCGGTACCTTCTATCCCTGACGTATGGAGACCGAGAACGCCGCCGCTCACGTCGGTCATAGCGCTCAGGAGTCCGATCCCGGGACCTGTACCCATCCCTGCCGCGGAAAGCACGTGGTGATGGTGACCGAGGTGGACGGTAGTCATCGCGTCGCCGATGGGACGTTTCGTCCCTGAAGTCGCTGAAAGGCACTCTGCCGGATTCATATGGTCGGTCATAACGCTCGCCCGGAACTCGCGCATTGCGGTTACCAGAAGGACCGCCTCGACTATATTCAGGGGACCTTGATCGTCTCGAAGGGGGCGCACGGGGCTGTTCCCCGGAAGCAGTTCCAGGTCTTGTGTTTCTCTGCGGCTTCGAGATTTCAAGATCTAGAAGGGGTTTCATCATTAGCCTCCAATTTGCCCGTAAGGAGTCTATCGGCTATACTTACGAACTTTCCGTCCTCTGACTACGGCTCCCTGCTCCGAATCTAATGCATTCTTGCAAGCAGAGGAGTCTAGGAACTGAATGAATCCATATGCCTGCTTGATCGAAATCTGAGCGAGTTTGCCGAACTTGTGAAAGATATGGAACAGATCTCGTTTCGTGACGCGTTCTGTAGGCAAATTACCTGCACACATAGTAGAACGGGACAAATTAGCCGGGTGGAAAACGAAGGCGATTGGGCCGTGTGGAGGGGTACAACTCACCAACAAATAATCTAGAGCCAGGCGGGAAACGATCCCAAAGGCCTTCTGTGACATATATCCTCTCATCATGAAGAAACTCGTCGTATTTCTTTTGTACTTCAGGACCCCAAGGAGTATCTTCATCGGCGTTGCTTTTGGACTGTCGAGTACTTATCCGTTCCGCACGACCGTTCTTAGTGGCCGTGGCCGGAGCGGCGGCGGTGGCAGTAGTAGCAGCACTGGGAGCAGTGGCAGCAGTGGCGCCAACAGCAGCAGACTCTTGAGGCTCTGCATGCTGGAAGCTTGCCACAGGGGGAGGGGGCAGCGCGCTGACTCCCGCAGAGGTGCCCGGGGCGCCAGCAGCTGCCAACGGCGATACTCCCAGGTTAGACTGGTAATTATTACTTTGTTGGGCGGGATAGGAAGGGGAGGAGGGCTGTGCGGTGGAGGAACTAGGGGGAAGCTGGTGGTAGGAACGAATGTCATCACTAGCATTGTAGTTGGGATGGATAGAGGGTTTGTCTTGGGGAGGAGGGCGCGGGGGAAGTCCCAGGTCGTCCGTTCCGGCTTGGGAGAGCGCAGATGCATCGGCCGTAGATGGGGCGGTTTCTGCAACGGTAGGTGCAGAGAAAGCTGTAGAGGAGGGGGGGAGATTATCGAGGAGGTTTTGGAAATCGACACCATCCTCACCTGTGCTATCAGCGGGTTTGTTCTGGGAGACTAAGCGATCGGACGGGGGAAACGAGGTCGTCCAGCTGGCAATAGCAGGATCTACCTCACTCGCACTGGGGTAATTCTGGGCGGCATGGGAAGAAGAGGGAGGGACATCGGGCATAGGGTGAGCTATGATGGCAGCGGCATCTGATGGAGGCAATGTGGTTAGAGAAGAGTTTGTGGCTGTTGTTCCTAGGATCGTAGAAGTGTACGGATTCGAGGGTGCAGATCGATCTGACGGCAGAGACGCCTTGGGGATAGTGGCCACAGCAGGCATTGTGTGGTTATTTCGGTTGTTCACCGAACCCTCATCCAGTATGAAAGAGCTAAGTTGGAAGCTACCTTGTGTGTGGTGGTGATGATGATGATGATATGAATGATGGGTATAGTGCGGCGGCGGCTGTTGCTCCGGAGCTTGTTGCGCGGAGCCGGTCGCATTTCCCCTCATTGCTTCAAACCCAACATAAGGGCCTTGGGATGCATAGGGATTTGATCCATTTTGATGCGCCTGGGAGTTGAGTCCGTGATGATATTCGGAGGACCTCTCATAAGTCGAAGTGTCATTGAAGACAGGATCCATTTGATTTTGGAGCACCGGGATTCTGGCCGGCTCCGCGACGTGCAGCGGACGAGGGCTTTCGGGAGTCAAGGTCTTGCCTCGGAAGTGGAGAGCTTCATCTGGGGAATTGGGCGTCATGTAGACCAAGATCGAGAGGACGAGTCATCTACAAAAAAAGACACGCAGAGAAGGATTAGAAGGACCAGAAAGACCACAGGAGAGATAGGGATTTTGGAAAATCGTCCAAGCTAAGGTGGGGCTATCTTGAAAAAAGAACCGGGCCGTTGGAGCCGGGGCGGTAAAGGAGACGATGCGATGGCAAAAGACGGACGGACGGAGGCGAGGAAGACGAAAGTGTGTGTGTAGGGAGAAAGAGGGAGAGGGAAGAGGGAAAGAAGGGGAGAGTATCTCCTGATAGAGCGATGAAAATACCCACGAAAATGTCAAGGTCGGGTGAACTCCCAAGTAATAATGGTCAGAGGGTAAATCAAAAGCAAGAAAGTACAGTACAAGTACAGTAGTTGTGAGGGGGAGGAATCGGAGGAGAGGTAGAAAGTAGGAGGGGGGAGGGAGAGGGAGGAGGGACGGGTGGAGAGGGAGGGGGGAAAAGAGGGTGGTGGCAGGAAGAGATGGGAAGGAAAGCTAACACCACCACCACCACTACTACCACAAGGTTTGCGTAGAGCAAAAGGGATCTAGTAATAGAACAAGTAACAGGGATAGACAGAGTGAGGGCGAACCGGTTTGTTCAACCATACCCAAGCACTCAAGAGTAAATAAGAGTGATGCTGGATGGCGTACTGTACGGGGTAATGAGCCTGGAGATAATCCCGAAAGAAGTTGGTACGAAGTAGTACGGTAGTCTACTACTTAGTAGGTAGGTAGGAGATTGTCCTGAACCTGCCGGAGCTAACTGCTCGAGTACAGTAAGTTACTTGCTGTACCTAGTAGTGTAGTATCGGGGAGGAAAGAGGAAGTGAAGATGCGAGTGAGTGAGTGAGGTCAGGACTCAACACACACGCCAGGTCATTATTACGGGAGAATGGTCAGAGTTTGCGCCAGTCAGCTTGATCCCGCAGTATGAATGGCTAGCATTGTCATTAGCGGCGGGTCAAGGCGCGCCTAGATTTTCTTCTGCTGGAACTGCTGGAACTGCTGCAATTCCCTCCCACCATCTAAACTAAGAATAATCGCTAAATCAACTATCGGTCTGTCACCGAGTCTAGATTTATGGCTCCGATGGGCCTCTTCCGTGTATATGTCTGGGTTGGGTTAAGCTTACAACAGCTGGACATGTCAAGTGACTACCTGTTTTTTCGTATTGTAGTAGTCTTTAGTAATAGTTTACAATTGTGGCTTGATAGAGATAATTGTACTTAGTACCTTACCTCATAAATCGGATAGGAGCCTTAGGGGCACTGGCGGGAACTACTACCACTAACCTTGACACCAAGCAATAACTTATCTGCCCGACCGAGCCGACCTTTAAATCGGGGTAACTTTAGTAGTCTAGCATCATCTTATCATTTCATACCATTCTTACCGCTAAGGAACGGGCCCTTATGCTCGATCCGTACAGCTACCTCGCTAGAGTCGCTACAGCTAGACTAGGTACGTTCTGGAAGATCCTCCTCGTGCTTGTTATTGGTTAGCATCTCATCCTTAATTCAATGTCCCCTCCATCCCCAATCCCCCTTCATCCCCCTCCCCCGTTTCCAATTACGTGCATCTGCACCACAAACTGCAGCATTTTGGGATTTCTCTTTGACAGGCACGCACCCGTCACTTTCTGCCATGGCTACCGCGCTCCTCCATAATTCTCCCCGTAGTCTTCTTTGCCTTCCTGTTCGCCGCGGTCCTCTCCTCCTTTCTCAGATTGCCAGCCCCACCGTCGCAAAAAGACCCTTTGCGTCCAGACGGTCCGCCGCTATCAAAGATGAAGACCAGGTA